TTTCATCCCAAGGCCACCCCTCTCATTACTGTGGGCTGCTCTCTGCTGTTTCCCCACCAGGGACTCAAAGCCACTTGAGAGCCAGGCCACCGTTGTCTGGCCTAAAGGAGTAGCTGCAGACACAACAGAAACGGAGTAGGAGCTGGAGAGATGGCTCAGCAATGAAGAGCGCATACTGCTCTTGCAAGGCGCCTGGGTTCTGTTCCCAGCACCCACATCAGGTGCCCACAGGTGCACAAAGCTCCAGCTTCAGGGGAGTCAGTTCCCTCCTGTGACCTCCATGGGCTTCTGCACACATGCACAAACCCACACAGAGTGCAATGTATATATGAACAAAAAGTCTTTTCGAGGGGGTAAATAAAAGGGTGAACAGGTAGTGTGCACTTCTCAGGCCAGGGGCGAGGAGCAGAGCTTCCATACAGCGGTCTCCACTGAGAGCTCTCATCCAGTATGTTCTGAAAACGCGTCTTTCTGGCTTTTGTGAGTGTGCCCTTGTCCCTCGTGGGTCAGAGCTGGTCATAGGATAAATCACTGAACCTAAGCGGGATCTTTGGGCATTCTCTCAGGAACCTATACTGTTTTATTTCCTTTATAAAGGACCCACGATAGGTCTACCACTCATAGACTACTGTAGACCCATGATAGGTCTACTACCCATAGACTCCTATAGACCCATGATAGGTCTACTACCCATAGACTCCTATAGACCCATGATAGGTCTACTACCCATAGACTCCTATAGACCCATGATAGGTCTGCTACCCATAGACTCCTATAGACTCATGATAGGTCTACTACCCATAGACCACTATAGACCTACAATAGGTCTGCTACCCATAAACTACTATAGGCCCATGATAGGTCTGCTACCCATTGACTACTGTAGGACCCACAGCTAGGCATGGTGGTGTTTGTCTGTAATGCTAACACTGAGGAGGAGTAAGACTAGGAGTTCAAATCATCCTTGGGTACAGAGAAAATTCAGGGGTAGCTTGGGCTACCTGAGAAGCGGCTCAAGATACATAAGTACAGAAAAAGGTGGGAGGTCCATGTGTTTCTCTAGGTTAAGACGCAGCAGGGGGCCAGCAGCACGACTCAGCAGAGAAGGGCACTAACCACACAAGCCTGGAAACCTGATTTCTCTCTCACAGAAACACCGTAAAAAGAGAGAAGGAAAGAACCAGAGAACCGATTCCACAGAACTGTTCTCAGGCTTACACAAGTGCCATGGCATGTGCACCCCAGATTCACTTTATAAATACATAATTTTTTTAAAAAAGAGAGAAACAGCACAAGTTCGTTACAAATTCCTGATATTGCTACTGTCTTTAGTTTTGTTTGTTTTGTTTTATTTCATTTGGTTTTGTTTTTCAAGACAGGGTTTCTCTATGTATCCCTGGCTGTCCTGGAACTCACTCTATAGACCAGGCTGGCCTTGAACTCAGAGATCCACCTGCCTCTGCCTCCTGAGTGCTGGGATTAAGGCATGTGCCACCACTACCACCTGCTTTTGTTATACCCTAACACTGTATCCTAGCCAGGTCTGAGGAGATGCACAGCACAATTGGTAAAGTACTTGCCTTGCAAACATGAGGTCCAGGTTCCCATCCCCAGATCCCACATTTTAAAAATATGAAGGCATGGTGGTATGTTCTTGTAATTCCCACTGTTGAGGAGGTAGAGACAGGCAGATCCCTGAGGCTTGCTGGCCAGCCAGCCTAACAAAATTGTCTAGTCCCAAGACAGTGAGAAATGTCTCATAAAACAAGCAAGCCAGAGATTGTTCTTAAACTCTTCCCACCTCCTCTTCTGCAGTGTCCCGAGAGCGAGGGTGTGGACGGTGTGATACAGACATCTATTTAGGGCAGATCACTGTGCAGTCACCTGCTCTGTCCTGGGGCCATTTGTGAGTCTCATGTTTGCCACTGACCCCTGCAAACAGAAGCTTCTTTGATGGGAGGTGGAAGCTGCATTAAACTGTGGATGTAAAATTGAGAATTTAGAGGGCAGTTTGGAGCTGTGTCCATTTACCAAAATAATAGCAGGTCTCCCCTGGAGCCTATGACCTCCCCGGCTACAGGTATTTCACCAGGTTTACAGAATGAGGCATGAGTTCCACCTTGTGGAGCAGGCCTTAAATCCAATCAGAAAGTCGTCAGTTGCTCCCCTAAATTCCTGCCACTATGGCACCAATGTGGGTCTCACTCTCTGAAGTTTTTATTACGTCAGCAGCACCTCCATGAGGACCAAGGCTCCAGTGCCTCTGCAGAGCATTCTCAACCCTTATCCTAACCCTAGAAGAAGACATCCTGGTCACTCAGACCTGGTGGCTCTGGCCCAGCATTCCCATGGTGCTCCAGGCCCTGTGCTCCAGTTTGTCCCTGTGCATTCTCTAGAACTGTAAAACTGGAAACTTAAGTTTATGTGTTTTGTCCTTTCTTTACACTAGATAGAGCAATGATGGGGAAAAGTTGAGTGAATGGAAGTCCAGGTATTATAGCACATGCCTGAGATGGGTGACCTTCTGTATCTATGTTTCTCTTATTGGTTGATGAATAAAACACTGTTTGGCCAAGAGAGGCAAGAAGATAGGTGGGGCTAGGAGACGAGGAGAATGATGGGGAGAGAGGCAGAGAGGTGCCTTGAGGAGACGCCATGTAACCGCCAAAGGAGTAACAGGTCCGGGCATTCTCTGGTAAGCCAAGACCACGTGGAAATACATAGATTTATAGAAATGGGTTAATAATTAAGACAGAGTTAACTAATAAGAAACCCTAGCCATTGACCCACAGTTTATAATTAATATAGCATCCCTGTGTTTATTTGGGGCTGAAGCAGCAGCGGAACCTGGCAGGAAAGAACCTCTGCATACATGCCTGTAATTCCAGCACCTAGGAAGGAGTGTGGGCAGGAGGATCGGGAGTTCACGTCATCGTCAGCTACATAGCAAGTTCCAGGCCAGCCTGGGATGCATGAGACTTTGTCTCAAAAGAAAAACAGAATCGAATGTATAAATGAGCCTACCCCAAATGTATGCATGTATGAATGAGCCTACCTCAAAGCAGACTTGTTCTTTATGAGTTTGTAATACCTTAATCAAGACTCTTCCTTCCTTGGTGTGTTTCCTGCACCTGCCTTCATGGTGCACGAAGATCTCTGACATTGAGAGCAGGATCTCAGCCCTGACCATCGCTGGCTTGAACATAGCACCCTGTGTGCGTCTCACAAGACGACGGCATCAGAAGCAAAGGAACCAGGTGTGTCTGTCCTCCCCTCCCCATTAGGAGACAGCATGACCTGGAAAGTTCCAAGTGCAGTCTACAGAGTGTTACTGAAGGCTATGTTTGTTTGTAGGTACAAACTATAGACACATCGAGGCAGCAGAGAAGGAAGCTGCCTGCTCCTCCTGTGAAAGGTAGGTCAGTCTTTTTTTTTTTTTTTTTTGCAGATTTTTTTATTTGAATTAGAAACAAGATTGTTTTACATGACAATCCCAGTTCCCTCTCCCTCCTGTCCTCCCCTACCGCCCTCCCAATTAAAACCCTACCTATCCCATATCCTTTCTGCTCCCTGGATGGTGAGGCCTTCCATAGGGTGTCATCAGAGTCTATCGTATCCTTTGGGATAGGACCTAGGCCCACCCCCGTGTGTCTTGGCTCACAGAGTATTCCTCTATATGGAATGGGCTCCCAAAGTCCACACCTATGCTAGGGATAAGCACTGAACTCCTACAGAAGGTCCCATAGACATCCAAGGTTTCCTCATCTGTGTTCCTGGGGTCGGGATCAGTCCCATGCTGGTCTTCCAGCTATCAGTCTGGGGAGCAAGAGTTCCCCAATGTTCAGGTCAGCTGTTTCTGTGGGTTTCACCAGCCTGGTCTGGACCCCTTTGCTCTTCACTCGTCCTTCTCTGCATCTGGATTCCAGTTCAGTTCAGTGATTAGTTGTGGGTGTCTGCCTCTACTTCCACCAGCTGCTGGTTGAGGGCTATCGGGTGGCATATAAGTCAGTCATCAATCTCATTATCAGGGGAGGGCATTTAAGGGAGCCTCTCCTCTGTTGCTTAGATTGTTAGCTGGTGTCATTTTTGTGGATCTCCAGACATTTCCCTAGTGCCTGATTTCTCTGTAACCCTAAAGTGTCTCCCTCTGACATGAGGGAACAGAAAGATTGAGTCAGGAGATGAATAGAACATAACAAGAATGGAGATACCATAATAGAAAGGCAGGTCACTCTTAAAACACCACGCTGGGGCCGGGTGTTGGTGGTGCACGCCTTTATCCCAGCACTCGGGAGGCAGAGGCAGGAGGATCTCTGTGAGTTCGAGACCAGCCTGGTCTACAACAGCTAGTTCCAGGACAGCTTCCAAAGCCACAGAGAAACCCTTTCTCCAACCCCACCCCACCCCCCCAAAAAAAACACCAAACTTGAGTCATGGGAAGAGCTCAGGGGAGCTCTGAGCATGAGGAAGTGTGAGGGCCAGATCCAGTGTGCCCTCTCCCCAAGAATTGTTCTACTTACGTGTGAGTTGTGATAGGGTATGCACGAGGAAGGCTGAGTGTGAGTGAGCATAAGCGGGTGTGAGAGCGATGGTGTGTGTCAGTGTGCCCGTGTGAGTAAGTGTGTGTGTGAAAGTGTGGGCGTCTGAGCATGTGAGCATGTGAGCATGTAGGGATGAGTGTGTGTTTGTGAGAATGTTGTATGAGGGTGACATGTGTGTGTGTGTGTGTGTGTGTGTGTGTGTGTGTGTGTGTGTGATTGCCTTAGGAATGTGTGACAACATGTATGGGTGTAGGGTACTCGTGTGAACTTGTGAGTGTGAATTGTGTGATTTTGTGTGACTACCTGTATGTGTGAAGATTCGAGAGGGTATGAAGTGTGAGTGTGGTCTGCTGGGGACATGGGTGTGCATGTAAGTCTGAGAGTGTTTGCCTGTGTGGGTGTGTATGAGTGTGTGCATTGTGAATGCGTGTGAATATGTGTGGGGTGAATGAGCACATTCGTGCATGAGTATGTGCTTTTTTGTGAGTGTGTGTCCGTGAGTGTGAGTTTGTGAAGCTGTGTGTGTAACTATATAGGTGAGAGTGTGTTAGTGTTGGCCACAGAAGTGTGGAGGTACCTGTGTTGGGTGTATGCACGTGTATGTGTGTCTGGGTGTGGGGATGGATTGGTGTGTAACGGTGTGTGCAGAAGTGAGGGCATTGCTTCAGTGTGAATGTTAAAGTGTGAATTGTTGGTGTGTGTCAGTGTGTCCGAGAGTACTGTGTGACTGTGTTACTGTGGGGGTTTCTGTCAGTTTGAGTAGAGGCTGTGAAAGTCAGTGTGTCAGTGTGGATGTATTCCTCAGTGTTTTGAGTGTGTTTGCATGTGTGTTTGAGAGTGTTTGTGAGCATGTGTGAATCTAAGTTTGTGAATGTGACTGTGTTCATGAGTAGGGGACTCAATGTATGTTCAAGTTTGTGTGTGTGTTTGAGTGTGTGTACACATGAGTGATTGTGTGTCAGTGTGAGGGTGCGTGTGTGTTTTGTGTGTGTGTGAGTCTGCATGTAAATTCATGTGTGAATGTGCATGTGTGGGAGTGTGGGACCAGACTGCTGGCCAGTAACCCCCAAAGTGCCCATATCTCTGCCACCTCCATACAGCACCAGGATTTTACGTGGGTGCTGGGATCCAGACTCAGGCCCAGCAAGGCTTCCTCCTGACTGGGCCGTCTCTCCAGCCGATCTTGCCTACTTGACTTGGGGCCCCCAGAAGCAAAGCTTTGGACATGTCTGAGTGTGAGGTGGTTTATGAGGAGATTCCAGGAAGTGCAGAGGGTAGCAGAGAGACCAGGAGAGGAAGCATGCGTGAGGCTGCTCTAATTAGGGGGTTACTTCTCGGGGAAATGAAGCCAGCGTCTCCGGAACCTAATTCTTCTATTTTGTTTCCTTTTTAGCTGAAAAGATTGAAGCATCTTCTGTGACCCCCATTAAAGCATTTAACCGAAACTTCCTTCTACAAGGCTCCTCGGAGAACAGGCCCTCAGAAAAGCAAGGTGACACCAAGGACGTGATGGTAAATGTTATCTCTGTACCTGTCCTGCATATGCGGGTCCCTCCCGTGCCCATCCCATCACACCACAGTTCCTCCATTTTCCTTCCATAGCTGCCCCAGCAGAGCCCCGGGAGGCAACCTTCCTTTCTGGGCTCCTGGCCTGTTTTAGGTTTGGGAGAAGGTATCTCTGAAAGGTGAGTGTCACCCTGTGTGGCATTGCTGGCCTCTCTAACCAGAGTCTGTCATCTCAGTTGTATTTCTATCTCGCTGTTTTTAGGAGCCAGCTATGATCTGAGAGAAACTCACGTGTGCCAGGTCTGGTGGGTGTGTAAGGGCTTCTACGCTGGTATGGTCCATATGCATTTGAAAATTTCTGTTAGCCATGAATACCTTTTCCTAAGTGGATTCAGCAGCTGCCCCCAAATGTGACAAAGGACAGGGCAGAGGATAATGTCCCAGACTCTGGGGATCACACAGGAGGGGCTGGTGGAGTATTGGCTACAAAAGCATTTGCAGCTAGGTGGGACAGCTTCTGTCTGTAATCCCATCATTAGGGAGGCTAAGGCAGGAGGGTTGCTGCAAGTTTCAAATTTGGGGCCAGTCCGGGCTTCAGGATGAGGTCCAGGTGAACCACAGTTATATATCAAGACACATGGTTCTTGGGGTGTCTCAGGTAGGGTTACTGTTGCTGTGATGAAACACCATGACCAAAAGCAATATGGGGGGGAAAAGGGTTTAGGTGGCTTACATATCCTGAGTCCATGGAGAAACAAGGGTAGGAACTCAAACTGGACAGGAACCTGCAGGCAAGAGCTGATGCAGAGGCCATGGAGGAGAGCTGCTTATTGGATTGCTCAGCCTGCTTTCTTATAAAACCCAGGACCACCAGTCCAGGAACGAAACTACCCGCAATGGGCTGGGCCCTCCCCATCAACGCTAATTAAGAAATACCTTACAAGTCTTCCTACAGCCCAGTCTTTTGTAAGCATTTGAATTTGTGTGTGCATGTGTATGATTCTTAAGTTTAAATAATCAATTCATCAATGAACATAAAGACAAAATTTGCATTATGATGGCTTATGTATGCAATCTCGACATGGGGAGGCTGAAAGAAGAGGATTCTAGCAAACTCAACACCAGCCTGGGCTGCCTTAAAACAGTTAATAACAGTGTGTGTGCATTAGGAGTTCAGAAAACAGTACAGTACATGGGAAGAGAGATCTGGCCCAGGCATGCCCACAGTACAAGCCCTGCTGATAGCAGACCCTGGGTGGAATGGCTGGAGGGATACAAGGACACACCCACCTGTTGCTGTATAGGTGCCCTCTGCCTCTCCCTTCCTTGGTGTCCCCCTCTGGTCCACTCTGAGTTGCAGAAGTACCAGGTAATGGCATGATATGAGGTCTTAGCCTTTGAACCACACATTACTGTCCCTCGTTGCCTTTTCTTCACTGGTCATCTGTGAACCCTCACCTTTCAAAGTTCAGTCATCTTGATACTGGCTGTAACTTCCAAAAGCTAAGAAAAAAATTAAGCTGGTCAGTAGTGGTGCACGCCTTTAATCCCAGCACTCAGGAGACAGAGGCAGGTGATCTCTGAGTTCAAAGCCAGCCTGGTCTAGAGTTCCAGGACAGCCAGAGCTACACAGAGAAACCCTGTCTCAAAAAAAGAAAGAAAGAAAGAAGAGACAGTGGGAAGAGGGCATTTTCATATTTTCATTTGAGCCTGTCTCAGTAGTGGAAGAGCAGCTTGTTGGGTTATGGCTGTTGAGTTAAGGACTCCCTTATTTCCTTTCCAGAAATAAATGCCAATTAGAGAATTGAGTAATTCGAGCATTGGGTGTTGGTTAAGATGCTTAAATATCCAACTATGTATCACAGGAAATATCTAACTGTGTAACAAAAAACCTGCTTCCTAAGAATCCGTTTGCAAACAGAAACCTCAGTAAATCCAGGCAGGAAGAAAGCGTCCAGTCATCCCCCGTGACCTTGTTGCCTGACATGATCAGTTTGCCAGGTAGCTGGTGACGGTGTCCGTCTTGCTTCCTCCAGGAGCCTGTTCTGGAGTCTGCTGTGATCCACTAACCACGGAACCCCACAGCCAGTGACCCACTGCCTCCGGCCGTACACGACAGTGCCTTGACCCAACAGCCATCGAGTACTGTGTGGATTTCCACTGAGGCGAGGGCCTGGGGAGGCCACAGTGCACTGCTGCACAGGGCTGTCTTGATACCTCACCCAGAAGGCCATCTCAGTCTGCAACACTGAGGTCCCGCCCACTCTCTGCCTTAGGCTCCCAGGGGAATCTGAGACCGGATATCCAGACGCTGGCTTCCAATAGCAGGGCTCTGTGTTCAAAAGATGCATTGTGCCTGTTTAATTTGTTCCTGTGTGTTGTCTTCACTATCCCTGTGTGTTTTTAATCTCTTTTTATCCCTGTCCTCAGTTCATCCAATGGAAAACCGTTGGAGAGGAGGAGCTTCAGGGAAGGAAGGAAGGAAAGAAAGAAGGAAGGAAGGAAGGAAGGAAAAAAAGGAGGGAAGGAGAGGGGTTATTACCCTTGTTTACTCTTGCTTATCATCTCCTAACAGATGCTAAGAGCAGGGGGCACTAGAAAGAAATCTCATTGGGCAGTGCTCAGCCACCTCCAGCTAAGCTCCCGGTACCTACCCCCACCTCTGTCATGGTCCTTCCTATTCCTTGGCAATCAGCAGCTACAGAATGAAAAGCTCTGACCCACTCATGCCAGGTCTCTTTCAAACCATGTCTCATTTCGAATGTAGGGTTCTTGTATGAATTTACTCAGGGGGAGAGGGGCCTAAGGAATGCCATTGTTAGTCTAACTTTCAGGACACTGTTCAGAGTCAGTGTGAAGTGGCTTGCTCATGACTGACATTGAAACGAAATCTGGGTAAATGAACTATTGCGAAATAGTACTACCCAAGAAAAGTTCCATTCTCCAAAATGTATCTCCCACTGAATTCAACGAGATTCGGATGCAACAGCAAGGATGACGGTGGTTAGGAAGTCGCCTTAGAGAAAAGTAGTGCAAACTGTGAGGGACACAAGAGGTGACTCGGGCTCCGCATTCATGGTCTGTTTCAGGGGAGAGACTGGCCTAAATGCATGAATATCTGAAGTGTATCTGTTCACACAAATGAAACCTACACTCCCTTCAACTCACTGGGGACTTGCAGCCTGTTTTTAATGTTGGCTTCCAGGATATTCCGAATCACAGAGTTACGGTGGGGTGAGGCAAAGGCAGGATATGCGAGGCAGTGAGCAGGCCAGTGAGTGACCATTGGGTGCTGGCTCTGCAGGACACAATGTTCTCAGTTTGGTCTAGTGTCCCTTTCCCGAAGCCCTGTGGGTTTCCCAGAATCCACAACCAAAGGTCAGACCACCGAACTTGCTGAAGCCATCCGTGTGAGCTGGTTCTAACCGGAATGCTCTGCCCCCAAAAGTGCAGCTCTGTTGTTTCCACATCCATGTTCTATTGTGTATCCCCAGGCTTGGTTTAACTGCCCTCCCTGCGCTGTGTGTGCCATTGTTGCTGATGGGGGACCTCATATTTCCATAGTGCTCCTGCTGTCACCCCAGAGAAAGGACTACATGGAAATAGTAAACCTTTGGCATTTTATCCTGTGGGTATGGTTCACACTAAAACAAAGTTGAAAAACACAACAAAAAGATCTGACTTCCAAGTAGAACGTTTTTTTCCTTAGGAGGCACGAGACTGCCTTTGTGCTAACAGTGTTAAAATACTCAGTTTTCTTTTGAAAAAAAAAAAGTGTGTACTCTGTAAGCCTTGCAAAAAACAATAATAATGATGAAGAAAAAGCCTGTTCTATGGCATCTGAACTTTTATAAAGGCTTCCTTGTGCCAAATAAGTACAAAGATTTAATTTACTATTTAAACCATAAACATGCTATAGTTCCAGAAAATTATTTTGTCATCCAGTGATTTTGATCTTTAGTGTCAATATTTATATTTAGATTAATTTTTATAAATGAAATATTTTGATGGTCTAAGAAAATGAGGACAAAGGGGTTACTATCTCTGATGGCTTCTTGCGGTTATACCTTCATGTCTCACACACTCGGCCAAGAATCACTGTCAAAAGAAATGACCACGACCGAGCAGTAAAAGTCACTTATGAAAATCATCTGTGTGTCTGATTTTTTTATTCATTTATTTGCTTATTTTGGTTACGAGAGTCTAGGAGTCTGTGTCCCTGCCTGCCTTCTAGTTTTACTACACGTGGCTATCTGACCAAGTTGGTTCTCCCTCCCTCATTGAAACAAGGAAGTTTCCCAGTGCTGGGATTACAGGTGTGTGTCTGCTCATTACAGGTGTGCACCTGCACACTGGCTTTTTTCTTTTCTTTTAGAGATTTATTTATCATGTCTACAGTGTTCTGTCTGCATATATGCCTGCAGGCCAGAAAGGGGTGCCAGATCTCATTACAGATGACTGTGAGCCACCATGTGGTTGCTGAGAATTGAACTCAGGACCTCTGGAAGAACAGCCAGTATTCTTAACTGTTGAACCATTTCTCTAGCCCCAGCTTTTTGCTTTTCTTACTTGGACATTGGGAATCTGAACTCAGATCCTCACACCTGCACAAGTACTTTGCTGACACACCTACCTCCCCAGCCCTAGTAGACACTTTAGATAAGGCAACCGGGTTCTGCAACTTGTAGCAGGGACACTGCCCCACAGCTCACACTGTGACAGGGACACTGGCCCACAGCTCACACTGTGACAGGGACACTGGCCCACGGCACACACTGTGACAGGGGCACTGCCCCACGGCACACACTGTGACAGGGGCACTTGCCCCACAGCTCACACTGTGACAGGGACACTGCCCCACAGCTCACACTGTGACAGGGACACTGCCCCACAGCTCACACTGTGACAGGGACACTGCCCCACAGCTCACACTGTGACAGGGACACTGCCCCACAGCTCACACTGTAGCAAGGTTCATTATTGTACACTGCACAGGGTGACACCCACAGCAAAGAACAGTCCAGCCGTTCTTGTCACAGTGCTGAGGACAAGAGAGCCCTGAGTTGGTTAGACACTATGGATAGTCACTTCCCCAGTGTCTTGGTTTGGGTTTCCATTGCTGTGAAGAGACACAGTGACCACAGCAACTCTTACAAAGGAAAAACATTTCGTTGGAGTAGCTTGTATTTTCAGAGCTTTAGTCCATCGTCATCATGGTGTGCCATGGTGGCATGCAGGCAGACATGGTGCTAGAGAAGGAGCCGAGTGTCCTACATCTTGACTTGCAACAGGAAAGGCACAGGGACACTGGGCCTGGCATGAACATATATGAGACCTCAAAGCCTGCCCTCACAGTGACACGCTTCCTCCAACAAGGCCACACTTCCTAATAGTGCACTCCCTGTGAGCTTATGGGACCGATTACATTCCAACTATCATATCCACCCTTTTGCAGATTTAGGAGGTTACAATATCCTGGTGTGCCCAGAACACCCAAGCCAGACACCGGCCCCTGCCATCCACAAATGGGAGTATAAGTGCTCTATTAATCTGGAATGAATAAGCATACGGAAGTACAAAAGCCAACAGCCTTGTCAATCTAAGGTCCGTGGAGTGCTGCTGTAAAAACGCTGTTTCCTCAAAGTTGAACCTTCCTGGGAGGAGCAGAAATCTTTGTGAATTGGGAAATATGCAAGACTCACAAGGCTCCTCTAGTTACATAAACTGAAATTGTTGCTGGGAGAGAGGAGACTCTTCTGTGGAGCTGCCTACTAATAGTGCAGAGGACTGAAGCTGCAGGTTTCTCCGCAGTCACCCATGACGGCACGGGTCTTTGTGGTGGGGCGCCATGCTTCTATAAGTAACCCCTCACCCATGTTTCAACAAGTGTCCCCAGTAAGCTCAGCCATCAAGCTGGATTTGGGTGACATTGTGTCTTGGGTCTGTCATCACCGTATCTGAGGAAAAGTCATACAGTGGACACCCTCACATGTGCTTAGCATCAGCTGGTGCTTGTCCAAGCTGCCCGACCCTGAGGCTTCTCCTCTACATCTCTAACAGATCCCAGGGTGGTGCTTGAAGCATTTATCTAATTATTCTTTAGCAATAAAAAAGCAGTGGTCAGAGCATCTAGAAGGCTCCAGAAGTATCTAGTCCCCACTCAGACTTCTGCTGTACTGTGACTAGTCAGCTCACCTGTAAAGTCGCCATCTAAGTGTCTTCCTTTTGCTGCTAGGATCTTTCAGGAAATAATTCACAGGAAACACTTTAGCAGGAGCTTTGTAACCATAGCTACTAGAAATTTATGCCAACCCCTTCCCATTTCCTCTTCAAATAAAGTCTACCAAGAATCAGTGTCCTGACCTAAGCAACACAAAATACCCAAACTTGATTTTACAGCTCATGGTAGGAGAGATTCCTCTTCTGCAAGCGTTTCCCCTCCAGGCCCTAACTCTAGTAGGTAGGACTCCTCTGCCTTATCAAGGCTGGGCTTGGCTAGGTGACTTGCCTTGTGATGGAAGGACAAACGTCTCCGTCTCTTGATTTTGGATTTGTATATGAGACTTGCTTGGGCTAATCAGATGCTGTAGTTTGTTTTCTGTTACTGTGATAATCACTAACACCAGAAGTGACTTGGAGAAGAAAGGGTTTATTTGGCTCACAGGTCACAGTGACTACTCTCTGAAAACTATGTGGTGGTTTGAGTCGGAATGGCCCCCAGAGACTCGTGTCTGAATGCTTGGCCTTAGGGAGTGGCACTATTAGGATGTGTGGCCTTGTTGGAGTAGGTGGGGCTTTGTTGGAGAAAGTGTGTCACTAGCGGGTGGGATTTGAGGTCTTAACTGCTCAAGCCAGGTCTAGTGTGACATTCACTTCCTGCTGCCTGCTGATCACTATGTCTGCCCACACACTGCCAATGCTTCTCACCATGATGACAGTGGACTAAACCTCTGAAGCTGTAAGTCAGCCCCACTTAAATGTTTTCCTTTATAAGAGTTGCTGTGATCGTGGTGTTTCTTCACAGCAATAAAACCATAACTGAGACACGCTAAGTTTGGAGTGTGGCATGGTAAGCATTATTATTGTGGTATTAGCCACATTATCTTTTTTTTTTTTTTTTTTTTGGTTTTTTGAGACAGGGTTTCTCTGTGTAGTTTTGGAGCCTGTCCTGGCACTTGCTCTGGAGACCAGGCTGGCCTCGAACTCACAGAGATCCGCCTGCCTCTGCCTCCCGAGTGCTGGGATTAAAGGCGTGCGCCACCAACACCCGGCTAGCCACATTATCTTAAAACTTGATTTATCAACTTATATTTATACCTGTGCTAAGGGTAAAGTAAGATTAGTGAAAACAAAAAGCAAAGTCATTGGGATGGTTAATATTGACTCATTAGGATTTAGAGTCACCCAAGACAAACCTCTGGGCATGTCCGAGATTTGAGTCTCTAGAATGGTCAAGAAAGAATGCATATCTAATAGTGGTGCTACCATCTAGTGGGCTGGGGTCCTGGACGAAATAAAAAGAAGGAAGTGAGCCAGGAGGTGGTGGCACATGCCTTTAGTCCCAGGACTCGGGAGGTAGAAGCAGGCAGATCTCTGTGAGTTGGGAGTCCAGCCTGGTGTACGGATCCAGTTCAGGGCTGGCTCCAAAGCTACAGAGCAACCCTGTCATGAAAACAAAAAAAAAAAAAACAAAAAGAGAAAGGAGAAAAAAAAAAAAAAAAAACAAAAAGAAAACAAAAAAACCCAGAAGGTTGAGGAGGGGTGTGTGTGTGTGTGTGTGTGTGTGTGTGTATGTGTGTGTGTGTATTGTGGGCACAATGTGATCAGCCACCCCTGCTCAAACTTCAAACCAAAATAACAAAATAAACTGCAGTGAGAAAAGTCGCTAACAGGGTCATACATCAGTATAAAGAAGAAACCCGTCGCACTCTCTGGTTTTCACAAGCTCGCCCTCCCCTTTTTTACTTCCTGTGTGTTGATCTTTCACAGAGTCTTTTGTCATTGAGATTTTTGATAAATCACTGCGCACTGGAGCATTTGGTCCCTTTAAAAATAGCTCTCCCTGACAGCCGCTCTGTTTTCTCCCAGGGGAAGTGTTTCCCGTACACAATTTGCATTTTGCAGAACAGTTGGCCATGTGAGCCTTCTGTCTCAGTGGCTGAGCTGGGATTGTAATAAAGCACAGGTAGACAGGACTGACGGGGGAGGGGTGGACTTGGATATCCACGGCAGGCTTGTGGGGGTGATCAGAAGGGCCCAGTTTGCTGGGACATAACTCTTTAAATACAAGGAAAGAAATACATTTTCTACCAAAGTCATCGTGTCTAGTAAAGATGGAAGACTCATGGCAAACTTGTGCACCAACATTCTGACTTGACAGGTCTGTGGCGGGACCCAAGACACCGCTTCTAGCCAGCTCCTGTGCTGTGTCAGAGCTGCTGGCCGCACTTTGAGCATCAGGGTTCCACAGAGTTCTCCAGGGGCCTCCAGGAAATGGTCTGTCCTGTTTGACTCTTGTGATTCTCCTCTCTCACCCTTCTCCCTGAGTGGTGGCTTCCACGATGCATGCATGCGTGTATTCACACACGTTTCTCCCACTGGCCTAAGATCATGAGGGACTGGGTCCCATTTGTCTTGCACAGACACTGGAGAGAAAATGGGACCTGGGATGGACTGTGGTGACTTTGGCTCTAGCCTGGGGTTACTTCTGGCCATGTAAGTAGACTGACAGACATGCAGACAAGGGGTCACCTCTTTCCATGTGCCTTCTGGGTTAGGGATCTGAGTCCTTTTTTCTTTTTATTGCTGTAACAAAATACCTGAGATCAAAGATAGCTGGTTGGGCAAAGGATCTTAGTTCAGATCCCAGGCACCCACATCAAAAGCCAGGTGTAGTTCCAGTGCTGGGGAGGCAGGGACAGGCAGGTCCCTGGGGAGGCAGGAACAGGCAGGT